GATGCTCAGCAGCGGGAGGACAGGCAGAGCAGGCACCTGCGGGCAAAGGCAGTTAATCCCTGAACATCACAAACGCAGACCCCCTCCTCCACGTGGGTGGGGAGACTCCAGGCCTGTTCACACTGTGCAGCCAGTGCCTCCTCAGGTTGGGTGTGTAAAGCACTGAAGCCACTGGTTGTAGCACCTCCCCTCCTTCCCTAGTCCAGCAAAGATAGTTCAGACCTATCAGGGGTTAGAGATTAAGACACCCATTACTATATATAAAATAAACAACAAGGTCTACTATAGAGCACATGCAACTATATTCAATTTCTTGTAATAACATATAATGGAAAAGAATCGGGAAAAAGGAATATTATGTATATATATAACTGAATCACTTTGCTGTACACCTGAAACTAACATTGTAAACTACACTTAAATAAAAAAATTTTTTAAGATACTTGAGACCTCACAATGTGCAGACTTCCTTCACTCGGGGTGGATGGTTTAGTCATTTAAGGTCAGTTACCTTGAAGGGAGGAGGAGTGGGGCCCTGGGGCTGCCTCCAGATGGTGACAGTGACCCCGGCGATGAGCACCAGCAGCAGCACAGCCACCGTTGTGCAGACGGGGTCTCCAGAGAACACACGGCGGGGCCACTGGGCCAGCACCAGGCTCAGGGCCGTCAGCAGGAGAACTGCAGGGTCCAGTTGGAGGAGAACAGGGTCAAGTGCAGAAGCCAGTGTGTCAGGCCTTGGGTCACACCCCTCCCCCATCAGAACTGCCCACATCACAAAGGGCCATTCTGTCTCCAAGACTGCACCTCCACTGCCAAAGACACATACTCCCACCACCTGTCAACGTCAGGACACCACCAAAGAGCCATCCCGCTGCTCACCAAGCAGTAAGGCACATCCGTAGACAATCCGGCCGGATTTCAGAGTGGGGCTGGTGTTGGTGTTGATAGGTTCACGCAGACTCTTTAGAGTCTTTAAGATTCCTGCTTTAGGTACAGATTCCAAAGGATTTTCCTCAACTACAGGCCCAATCTCAATTTTGTTCTCATTCCTGCTTAAACTGTGGTCTGGCTGGTACCTGAGTTAGAGGTATTAAGGCAATATTAACAGCAGCCCGTACTCACCCTACACACAGTCTAATTCTTCTTCTTCCCAAATTAAACATAGCAGGACATTTTGAGGGCAGAAGAGGGTTGCCTCCCCATCAACCCCCAAGACGCCAAGACCCCCAGTCAAGATGCAGTGGACTCCCACCTGAGGACAAGGACAGAAAAAGCCACGAGGGAGTAGGCAAGAAGGGTTCCAATCGACATGAGGTCCACAAGATCACTGAGATCGAAGAGTAACGCCATGACCCCTAGAAGGAGGGCACAAACGTGGTTGGGGGAGGGAGGGAGAAATCAGTAGAAGTATCTATGTTAAGGAAATTGATCAAAGAAGGAGTGGCTTTGTTTAGTCACCTGCAAGAGTTCCAGAAGCCAAGGTGGCCACAACGGGGGTGTGTGTGCGGGTGTGGATCTGGGCGAGTCCCCGGAAAAGGAGCCCGTCCTCTGCCATTGCGTAGATCACACGAGGCATGGGAAACATGGCACCCAGGAGGCTGGAAGGGAAAATGGAAACACGTGTGAGGATGTGGAGAAGCAGGACAGACTGGGGCTCCTTCTGTTCCTCAGTCTACGTGGGATAAGGTGTCTTCACCACTTGTCTCTAAACCCCAAGAGCTGGGATACCTGCGAATCTGACAGCAGACAGGAAAAAGCTTCGAGACTGACCTGGATGTCAGTGCACAGAGGGTGCCAACAGCCACCACATATCTGGCAGGAGCCCACCCAACATGGAGAAGAGCCTGCGGCAAGGGGCTCTCAGGGTCAATCTGGTAGTAGGGCATCATGAGGGTGAGTGACGCTGAGACGCCAAAATACGCCAAAAAGCAGATGAACAGCGAGATGACAATGCCCAAGGGGATGGAGCGCTGAGGATTCCGGGCTTCCTCCCCTGCAGGATGGGTGGTAGGAAAACACACTGGGGTGAAAGCACAAAATCCCCTTCCCTCTTGAACCTCCCAAAGCAGGCTAGCCTTCTACCAACCCCTCTTCCCAAAGGCAGCCCAAAATGTGCCTGAACCTCCGATGGGACACACAGTGACCACGTTACCTGTAGTGGCGATGGCATCAAAACCAACAAATGCATAGAAACAAGTGGCTGCTCCTCGGAGAATCCCATCAAAGCCAAAAGGCACAAACCCTCCAGAACCCAGAGGGCCCAAGCTGCGGTGAGAGAAGGAACGAGGAAGAATGTAGGTGAGGTGTGTTCAGCCATACTGGATTTCTCAAAAAATACCCCAAGTCCTGGCCCCTTGTGCCCCCATCGCCTGGATCCAGCAGCTGAGATCTCTTTACTCCACATCATATTCCCCATTCTGCATGCCCACTCCCTACCCACAAGCCTTGCTATTGGCAGGAGCACCCTGCTAACCTATAGGTGCCATTGGATCCAGATGAGGCCAATTTGTGGTCCTGTTCCGTGAGCTGCCAGTTGTGCAGGTCTCCCTTAGTGAAGCCAGAGAGGATGATGAAGCCGAGAACCAAAAGGTTCAGGCCTGTGAACACTTTGGTAACCAGGGCTGACTCTCGAGCTCCCAGAACCAGTACTCCTGTGGGAAAGATGGATTTGTGAAGCCTCTAAAACAGTTAAATCCACAGAGACAGAAAGCAGGCAAGTGGTAGCCAGGGGCTGAGGGGCTGGTGGTGGTGGATGGATGGACAGTTACAGCTAAATGCATACAGGGTTTCCTTTTGGGGCAATGAAAATGTTTGGAACTAGCTGGAGGTGACGGTTGCACGACACTGTGAGTGTGCTAAGTGCCACTGAATTGTACATTTTCTGATGATGAGTTTCCCACAATATATACATCTAAGAAATCATCACATTGTACACCTTAAACTTATATAATTTTGTATGTCAATTATATCTCAATAAAGCGAGGGGGAAATAATAAATCACTGGGATCTAGTGAGAAAGGCCAGAAATGCTACTCAACACTCGACAATGAGTTTTTTAAAAAACCTAAAATGCACAAGACAGCGCCCCAAACCAAGGAATGACCCAGCCCAGACTGTCAGTATTGCCAAGGATGGGAAGCAGTGGTCTGTGTCTTGCCTTCCTGTCACTCATATCACAGGCCCTTCTTTCCAGTCCTAACCCCACCACCATTCCGCCTCTCCAAGCCTTCCCCATACCATCTCCCCCTCCACACCCAACTCCTCCCATCCTGTCTGCCCCTGTCTCACCTGTGAGCAGCAGCACCAGTCCAAATGCAAAAACGTCTGGATATTTGGCCAGGAAGTAGGGCACATGCCGGGAGAAAGTGCCCTGTAACCCCTGAGAGATGTGGTTCCCAATCAGGCTGTCAAAGGTGGAGCTCCAGGCCCTGGCCACGCTGGCGGTGCCTGCAGCAGCAGGAGGAGGAATGCTCATTGACAAACATGAATCATACCCCTACCATGTGCCCTGGGATGTATTTTGTCAGGGATGGGGGAAGCATACAAGATACCTAATCTCAAAGAATTTCTTTTCATGGGTTGGAGAGAGTAGACCCAGATGATCCACAAAATAGATCAGCTAACACGTTAGGAGAACAATGTTATGCAAGAAAAGAAAACAGGGTAAGTGGGACCGGGAGGTCTGGGAGATGAAGGCTGAAATTTGTAATCAAATGGTAAAGGAAAACCCCATCAAGGCAAGAGCTGAACAAAGCCTTCACAGTGGTGAGGGATGAGCCTGTCTCCCTCACCCGCGTCCTGCACTTCCCTTTCCCTCTTGGTTCTTGTTCTGTCATGTAAGGAAAGCAGGACAGACCTAAACAGAATGAACTTGTGGGGTTTTCCCGCCACTGCTACCCACTTCACCCCACAAGGTGAGTCACTGAAGACCCAAATCCCCCTCCTGGTTTCCCAGCCTTAA